GCATTCGTGTTTAAAAGCTGTTGCAAAGTGTGAATGTACGTTATGCTTCAAAGCTCTGACTCAACTCCTATTTTATTTTCAAACGCTTTCATGTATGACTTGTTAAATCTTCAGTGCTGTGTTTTTACACGCTGTCCTAGATTTGTCTTTTTACTGAACTGGTTATGCATTCATGTGTTCAGCTAATATTTCATGTCACATGCAACTCTGTTAAAGATGAAAAATAAAGTGTTATTTAAAGTTGTAATTCAAATCATTTCAAGTTTCATGAGCCATTAAACAAATAAATGGAAATAATAAATGATCAGTCATGACTCGTTACATTACAAAGGCCTCTGCTTAAGACTCATAAAGCCAAAACAGCTACACAGTGCCTTAGTTTTTTATTGTCTTAATTTTCTTTTGTTCTAGTAATGCATAGCAAACACCCTGAAAACCCTAGCAACTGCATTGCAATCTGAATTATTTGAAAATCAAAACATAGCATTCGTCACTCACAAGTACAGATTTGCCTCCTTCTGGGCTTTTTTCTGCAGTCTTCAACTGTTGGCGAGGGGAAAATCAGGGCTAAATGAGTATAACGTGCGGTTGTTGCTGGTAGCCATTGACTTCCATAGTATGGAAAACAATACTATGGAAGCCAAAGGCTACCAGCAACTGTTTGGTTACCAACATTCTTCAAAATAACTTTTGTGTTCAACAGAAGAAAGAAACTCTTACAGGTTTGGAACAACTTGAGGGTGAGTAAATGATGGCAACGTTTTCATATTTGGGTGAACTATTCCTTTAAATAAACTTGTCTGTGATCCAAGTCCTGCAGTGTGAAATGTGTTTCGACCGGAACTGACACGGCTTACGACAGACAGTTGTGTAACATGCGAAGAACAGCAATCACACGACTTCTGAAAAATCATGTAGTCTAGTTTGTGGAAGGCTTAACGCGATGATATTAATTTTGAAAGTGATGAAAGTGTACTTGGTCACATTTTCTGAAAGCACTGTGAATATATAATGATCCAAAAACTTTGATATTCCAATGTTTTATTGTGAAGTCAAAGCGGTTTGCAAAATGTATTAAAATACATTGAATACAAAAAAATCTGCAATGTTGGAATAAGAGCACCCACTTTTATTATGGCAGCCAAATGTTCATTCATCTCATGATAAACTGTGTTTCACACAAATATTTAGACGTATTCCTTCAAAAACAATATTGATACAGTGTAGTTTGAGAGGACACACTGATATTTATCCAGTGTAATGCTCAGAATCATCCACACGGATTCATACACTTCCAAAAGTCATAACATTTTGACTACACAAGCGTCCAGCTTTGCTACTATACTGTTCAGCCCTATTACCTTCTTGAAACTCTCCAACGATTATCTCCAACTATAATAATTATTCAAATCATCTTTCGCTTCTCATTTCTCACTCAGCCGAACCATTTATTACTCTCTTATTTATATGCGTAAGCTTCACGGGACGTCACTCTGTGTGTTCAGGGGTCATGTGCAGCATGAGGAGGTCGGCCCCCCGCCGGACCACCACGTTTATGCTGTCGCTTGTTCCCTATAATAATTATTCAAATCATCTTTCGCTTCTCACTCAGCCAAACCATTTATTACTCTCTTATTTATATGCGTAAGCTTCACGGGACGTCACTCTGTGTGTTCAGGGGTCATGTGCAGCATGAGGAGGTCGGCCCCCCGCCGGACCACCACGTTTATGCTGTCGCTTGTTCTCACAGCGTTATAGATCTCCTCTGACGAGTTCACCTTTGACCCGTTGATCTCAACAATAACATCTCCTGGTTTCACTCCAGCTCTGTGAAACAGAAAACAGGAAATGACATCGACAACAGGAGGACT